TGTATATGTATGTGTATATATGTATATATATCAATCCTAACATGTATATACAGGAGATATAAAATATCTCCACAATGGACATGCCGTTATGCCATCTTAAATCTAACACAACGACCTCTGCTGGTACACAGGACGTATGACACACCGTGCTCACTGGTTGACAATTATACTCGGACATAGATACATCACCGTTACAGGGATACAGGATAATTATATCAAATATAAAAGATACAAAACATTATACACTTGTTGCCCAGTATAGGTTTTTTTAACAGAGTAATCTCAAATATATGTACTGTTCTGCATAGATAGTGCCACTGCTCTTAAGGCGCAGAGATGTGGACTACTGCCTTTTAATTTTAAGAGGTAAAAGTAAGGCTAAATAGATAATAAAAGAGTTGTGTGTGTTAGTATGCGCCTCCACCCTAGGTTAAGGGTTAATACTAATGTCTACAGGTTCCAGGAGCCGGGCCCTGTATGAGCAGATGTGTGTGTGTGTGCAGTCTGTGCACTGTTTGCGCAGTCTCAGACTGTGCATCGATCCATGACACTAACCACAATGCCTTCCTGCTGATGTTGCAATAATTACCAAAGCGCTTCTGCCTGTCAACCTGGCCATCTGGAAAGTAGCTACAATCCCTCTGATGGCCTCGTGCTGAACCCATTACCCTGTATGGCGGCATGTAAATCATGTTTTTGGTCTTTTCGTTAATTGTTTTTTTAAATGGTGCATCTAACGCCTCATTTTATGACCAGGGAATTACAGCCCTTCCAAGAGATCACAATTTGGTGACTATCAAAACTTTCCCTTTACATTTCTTTAGGACTTTTCTTAATTTCAAAATATCGAGGACACATAATCCGTTTGTTTTTGTTGCAGTTGGTGTGAGGTTGACCCACAGTTTTGGGTAAAATGCTTGGACTTCCTACAGACACACAGGAATACCTCTCCAAGCTTATACCCTTACATGGATAATATCTGTTTCACAACAATCACTCTTTGATTATATTTCAGTACATTTCACAGCTAACATGCACATGAGCATTTGAACACAACACCTCCTTCCTCTTCCTACCCCTCACAGGCAGAGGTGTTCAATGCGTTCAGGGAGTTCTTCCAGGCAGCGTCGTCTCGACCAGCTCCGTGTGGTGTATGTCCCTACCCGTCATCCCGGGCCATCTACGCTGTGGACCTCATGCTAAAGTGGAGTACGGGTCAAAAAGGTGAGCGTTGGTTCTTTACATGATTCAACAGCATTCTAAAGAAGTATCTGCTAACGTTATAGTGTGAGCCTCAAGGGATCGGAGCTCGAGCCCAAACTAGGAATGCACCAATCTGACTTTTTCTGTCCATACCTGGGGTTAAGGTACCGACACCGCTGTTTAATAAATACGCTGTATGCCTCATTCTTTTGTGTAAGGCAACATCAGGCTTGACTTACACATTGCTTTACTAACTTTGTAAAACAAAATGTAAGAAATAAATACATATATATAAATGAACCAAATTGTTATTTATCAAAAATAACGGCATCCGATACCAGATCGGTCCGTTGTCACAGATAGCTCTACTTTCTGCTTCGCTCAGATGTTGATACTGAAGAGGTTTCAACTTTCAAAATTGGCATAACTCTTCAGCCCTTCCAACCATATAAATAGTGCCTTTATCAGTGAACTATTTGTCACAGTCGCATGATTGCGCATGCCAAGTTACAAAAATTCAGAGGTGCTCAACCAAGCACCGCACACCGGCAAGTAAAAACTACCCTTTACTCCTTCCTTCGTAAAGTACCCGGCTTGGAACAGAAACTCTGAGAGCTGCGACTCTGCTTCCGTTAGTGTTCTCCATTTTGAAAAAACTTGAGTTACTATAAATTCTGTGTTACATGCATACACAAGTCAAAAGTTCACAGCTTCCTCATCTGTTCGACACGGAACACGCATACCAAACAGGCCGGTGAACAGTTCAAGCGCACTGCGGGCAGAGTGGAAACATCAGCACTCACTGATGAGATTAACAGGCAGCCTCAGAGACGATCAACTCTCAAGTGTTTTTTCTGCTGTGCTGAGCTCGCACCAAACCGTGACTCCAATTCACCTTTTTCACGTCTCATTGGCCAAGAGCCTGTTTTGGTCACTAAATTATTACTTTAATAAAGAATGTGCTTCAACATCAGGGCTCTGTGGCCCAAACTGCTTTTCAGGTGCTACAAGGTAACCTTAGATTTTCTAAACTTAACATTTGCATTGCGAAACATTTGCATCAGCTCCACCCATGGAAGAAGAACAGAAACAACCAGGTGCTCAATGGCAATGGAAGAGGAAACACCACCATAGTTCTTGTTTTGCAGTTTGAATAAAGAACACTCCATAACATAGTAAGCTGTTAAAAAACATTTTTAGAGACATTTACTAGTGACAAATCATTTTTTGAGGATTTTTAATCAAGGGTGCTCAGAACCCCCCACACACCCGTATTTCACACACTACCTATGTGTAGCTCAAGGTCTCCTTTTTTTGGCCCCACACACACACACACACACTCTTTTTTTCTTTTAAGATTACTTGAAGCGAGACCATTTCTCTTTTGAAAGAAGACATTTTTCTCTGAGATCAAGATCATGCACTTACATCTTATTTCCTTATTGTGACCTAAATCATACCGGGTTACACCTACAAGATATTGGCAGACATTTTCACCCCCGACTCAAATACTGACACTTGTGTCAGTGACCCTCAGACTTACAAACCTAAACACAAGAAAAAGACACAAAGGGACTGACCCCTACATACAAACAATAGGAATTCCCTGGACCTTCACAACTTGTGATTGCCATTTAAAGTATATTCTCACATAATATAGACTAAACAATTAGTCAAATATTTAAATGCATTCTAATATGTGTTGTAATGGTACATTTCTACTTAGTGTATATTGTGTAAATGCTGAACGTGCTGGTACTTTTGCTGTGAACTCGGTACACCTTCACCCTTTGTGTTAGTGTACATGCTCAAATGTGTCTTGCTGTTGTGCTAATGGAAATATTATATTCTTATGAGTAAACTGTTTTATAACTTGTTATTGTACAAGCTATCATAAGCTTGCGTCATGTAGCTTGTGACCCATGCAGCAGCTGCCTGCCTGCACACATATCCTCTTCATCTGTGTGTTGGATAACAAGTACTTACTGTATATTCACATGTTCTATGCCTTAAGGATAAAACGTATATATCTGTGTGTCTGTTGTTACACAGATAAAGCACATCTTTTACTTCTTTAAATGCTGTGGCGTACATGGCCTGAAACAATTCCAGTATACAGGCCCCCACCCTTGATCACTCTTCTATACAACTCTGTATACTCTGTGTGTTTAAGTATGATTTAAAAGACAAGCTGTGTTTCACGTTATCCTTCATTTCAGCTTAAAAAGACTCAACAGCGGGTGAAATCATTTTCCACCACAGTGTTAAAAAATGCAGTATTTTCCCTTCTGTGGATGTCTTTGTTTAGGATACTAACCTTTTACAACACACGTTTCTGTTCTGTGTAATCGTCTCATTTGTGTGCGTTCTGATCCTGGGTCAGGTGAGCGAGTCATGCAGCCTCAGATCCTGGAGTTCAACTTCAGCCCAGACTGCGCCAGGGCCTGCCTCTACCACCCCTCCTTCTACAACCACATGTTCCAGACACTGTTCCTGGATCAGCCCGAGCACTGTCCGGTCACACAAATAGCATGATCGACTCCACTCTGTCTTTCTCTGTCACCGGTTTACCACCTACATTCTAGTTGATATTAAAAGCTTATGAAACACGTTTGCCTCTGTAACTCAATTCCTCGTGAATCTTTAAATCATTACCTTTTTTTTATTTTAATAGTTATTACAAGGTTGTCCTCTGAACCTGATGGTGTTATGAACTTGGTGGTGGTGATTAAAACTCAAACACTGCTGTACACAATGAGAAGCAATAAAACCATGTTTGGATTATACATGATTGTGATGAAACTTAAGTATTCAGTTACCTTTCCCCTCCTCCGCCCACCTTCCTGTTCATCACTTCTTTCCTTCCTTGTGGCTTCACACGTCGGTCGTCTACTTGAAGAGGAGAGAACATTCAGACAGAAATAGATGAACATCTGCTTAGTTGTAAAAAGGGAAGTTTAAGCAAGCAGCTCTAGATAAAGAATGTGCAGAAGATGAAATCTGTTCATTCGATGTGTGATTAGATATATGACCATGGGTTTCCGCCAGAAAAGTTGTTTGGCCCTGTGGCAAGCGTCGTTTTAAAAATTCTTTAATGTATTTTTCTTTGTTTCTGTGTTATTATTCGGTTAATGCTGACTTGTCAGTGATTTTCTACCTGGTGTAGTGTAGATGTATCTTTACTCAAGTAGACCGGGCCTTAATTCTATAATCTGGGTATTTATGTGTGTGTATTTTTTATCTTTGTCCCAATTAATAAATACATGTTTAACTTTAAAAGCTCAGAACCAACATCAATAGCATTTGTCATGTGGATTTAATTTCAATACGACTAACAATAATAAACTTTTGGATTCCAGACATCTCTCCCACCACTTGAGACATTGAATTGCCTCGTCCAGGTGCCTTATCATCCCCTCCCCCTCAGTATGAAGGTCAGAGCTGTGAGGTGTCTTTCTCCAAAAGAAAACACTAATGCAGCCACATCCAACCAGTCTTTCAACCCCAGAACTCCTTTTTTTCACTGAAATATTTTTCCCTAAAATGGATGTTTAATGAACTCAAGTTTGACCTTTATAACCTATCTACTTTTTTAACACTGTATTGTGTTTAACATGAAGTGACAATAATAGACACTCAGAGCAGCAACTAACCCAAACCCAAACTAAGGAGATAAAACCATATCCAAAGCATCCAACCTCCACAATGAAATGTTGAGTGTCCGAGATAGCAAGGATGGGTGCAGAGGGCCCCTCTGCCTCTGCCTGAAGGATCCACTGAAACTTGACATGTCGTGAGGTGAGAGCATGAAGAGGGACACCAACAGAGCAAAAGTTTCTGATGAAACGTCCGTAAAAGTTGGCAAAACCTAGGAAATGTTGAACTAGCTTTCAACTTGTAGGCGTGGGCCAATTCGCCACAGCACTGACCATAGAGGGGTGGGTCAATGACATGACATGCATATTTTTGTGTCCGAGTCCACTACTTCCTTTTAAAATAATTGTATCAATTCATGACATATCAGTTCATTCTATAAAACCTATCCGGTTTTGATACATTTTCAGTACAATCAAATAATATATATTATTTTATGTTTTGGCACCTCAAATGCTGAAAATGTCAGGCGGTGCACCTGTCCTAGCAGATGAACAGACTAAGAAAACTATTAAAAAAGGTATTTAAATGATAATAAATTACTATGGCATGCTTTTATTGTTGAAACGACAATTAAAATAAACCAACTTTTTACAAATGCCAATAGTTTTAAGCTGTTGCGATAATTTAAAAACTTTTGTCCAGCAATTTGAATGTTCTCAAATGTCAGGGTGGCACAGCTGTAAAGATGGGACTTTTATTATGAAATGAAAGTACAGAACAGTAAACAGGATATTGCATCTTCAAGAGGACCTCAACTGACCTTTATAGCAGAGTGAAAATGTTTTTATATCTCTTTTGAATATTGATAAAAACAGCTACTTCCAATTTATAGGTAGAGTGGTTCAGTTTCCATGTCAGGGTGGTACAAACAATGTAAAACTAGAAACATTTTATTTTATCATAAATGTCTTTATTCTATTTAAAATGTATATGTATGAAGTTGTTAGCAAGAACAAAAGCTAATGCTAGTGTCCTAGTAGATGCCTGTTTAATGTGAAATCAGTTGCAAATGTCAGGTGGCGCAACCAGTAAATCAGGTGGTGCAACTGCAGAGAATGTCACTATGATATATTTAAAGCTCTAACTTTATTTACTATTTTTTTCAAAAGTTTAACAGTGTTTAGTTAACATTATACACTTTCAAATTATTTTCATGATATTAATGAATATTGTTTAACTATTAAGGATACCACTGTCAAGTAAAGCAGAATCAGCAGGACACAGGGAGCCGACAAGTCCTGTATGGAGTGTGTGCAAAACGCTGCCATAATGAGGTAGAAGTTGCAACACCCCAGGTGGAAGCGACTGTGATTTTGCCTATTCCAGTTATGTGCTAAACATGATTACTATGAAATATTTACTACTTTTAATTAAAATAGACTGACTAAAAAAATTATGTATTTGAAAAAAAAAAAAAAAATGCAAATTTTCTGCATATTTCCTGTGATTACATTGTCAGGTGGCACAACTGATAAATGTCATGGTGGTGTGACCAGGTAAAACATTAATTTAAAGCAATAAATAATAGGTTGAAGTGAATTTTTTTTTGCTTAATATGATGTGAAGAACTATTGTATTGAATGTATTAATTTGAATATTTGTATTATGTTTGAATGTTTGAATGTAAAATCAAATGTTAAATATACTAAATATTTGGCCAAGAGAACACAATTATGATAAATTATTGTATATATATAAAACACAACCACAAAATATGTGTTAGACACTAAGGGATACTTGTCAAAAATTTCAGTTTGAATAAATATTAGGAAAATATATATTTTTTTTTATAAATATGTGGTTACGCCACCTGATATTTTTTAGCCTGTGAAGTTAAAAAATGCTTAAAAAAAACTATTTAAAACACTATGAAAAGTTGGTTCACAACTTAGACTTGTTTCACCACATTGTTCCAGACACAGAACTATGCATTTTGAAGATAATTTTAAAAATGAGCTTTTTAGAAGCCTTATTTGTCAATGACCCGGGTCAGTCTGTAGTTTGGGGAAAGGATAAAGCCGAGGAAAGCGACAGTGGGGGTGTGAAGGTCGCACTTCTCAGTCCAGGCAGGTGTACCTGATGCCAACATGTTTGGGGGTTTCCAAAGTGTATTTTTAAAAACTTTAATTATACATTCAAACATCCCATTAACACCAATTCAAATATGCGATAGTGCTCCAGCTAAGGGTTCCATGTTGGCCTGTGTCATGGAAGAAGAATTCTCTCTCTCTCTCTCTCTCTCTCTCTCTCTCTCTCTCTCTCTCTCTCTCTCTCTCTCTCTCTCTCTCTCTCTCTCTCTCTCTCTCTCTCTCTCTCTCTCTC